CTGTGTTTCCTCCTCTTCTATTCTTTCTCTGTATTGCTCCACATCCAGCCATTGTTTTCACCCTACTTTTCCTCGCCTCTTCTCTTGTTTGGTTCTTTTCTCAGTTCTTATTTCTGTCCTTGTATTTTTCTGTTCTTCCCTTCATTTTTTTTCTTCCTCTCTTCATTTCAGCTCTTTTCATCTTCTTTATTTCGTTTTATCTTTGATGCTGCTGTCACTGTAGAGAAAACACAATCTTGTGATCTCCTGTCACTGGAGCAACACTCGTGGGCACACTCCCATTCAGTTAATATCTTCACATTATTAATTAAAGATAATATGATTACGGGAATTCTAAGTTAGGTAGAATGAAATTCTGATTTGAAATTTTGTGTATATTATCAATCATGTTATATGTTCTATATAGTTGTTGAGTATCTGGTCAATTGATATTTTTGATATTTGCAATTCAGTTGACGAACCAATACCTTGAGCAATTTAAGTCAAAGTTGAAAGTTATTGTTTGATAAACTGTACAAGTTACTATTCATTATATTTATCTGTTATGATGACCGTGGTTTCTTTTCTCAATTTTCCAGGCTGCTCACTAGAGAAAATCTGTGCATGATGATGAAAAATAACTTTCACCTCTTGATGTATGATGGGTGAACCAGGTGTAACTGTATCATGAAATTCTTCTGCTTGTATTGTTTTTTCCTAGCTTTCTCTATTGACATACTGGGAACAAATTTGATGTGCTCGTTGCTGGTTTAAGCATTTTGCGATTCCTGAATTTCCTGTATAAGGGGTGTTAACGGAGCGGATACGGCTCGGATATGGCACTTACCATATCCATATCCGCTTACCCATCTCGGATACGGATACGGATACAGATATACGTCGGTAAGAAAAATTAATATCCATATCCGCCAAAATCGGATACGGTTACGGATATAGATGCGGATATATAAGCGGGTATACATGCGGATACAAAAATGATATGAGAAAACTAGATAGTATTCAGAAAAATATAGTCATGTGATACAAAAAGAGTTCGTTAATATGTTCATTATGATTGAAAAGCTAAGATTAGACATCTTGATCATCAAAATTAACCACAAATCCATAATCTAATAATCGACACCATCGTAAGAGTATTACCAATATGTATTCGGATATTTTCGGATACGGATATGGATATTTCACTACAAAACTTAGTTTCTGTGCATTGGCGAGATTGTAAATTTCTTTTGGGCAACGGTTGTATTTTTGTGATATTTGCAGTATTGATTGACCTTAATTCTTTGGTAATCTTGCACTTGGCAGTTGGATTATATGTGTTTTGGATTTTCATCCTATACCTAATACCATTCGTGGCACTGAAGAGCAACTATTTTTTGTATGCATATCAATATGCGGGAAGGCACATTCATTTCCAACCATTTTTATTATCTCGCCAAGGAAACACAAGGCCACATTGATCGACCATCAAAATGTTTTCCAAGTATCGCATCGTGCATCATCAACATCAAATATAGCAGTTACACCTAATGTTTATGTGGCTATTACAATCAGGCACAGGTGCCATAATTTATTCAGGTATAAGGATTAGCACGTATGCCGTATAATGGATGGATGATACAAGTCGAGACCCTCATTAATGCCAACACACGTGCTATAATCAAAACTTTAGACGAGGCTAATAATGATACTATACTAAAAATAAAAATAAAAATGACGATTTATTATACATTTTTACTCATTATTACTTATTTGTTTTCTCTTGCTTAAAATAAAAAAAATATGACTGAAATTTTAGATGAATCCTCATGGGGATACTCTCTACGTTAAGATTACACTTTCTTACTAGTGATATTGATATATGTATGTATGCATGTATATATAATTTCTCCAATTCTAGTATGTGATACCATACCCTTCACAGTGATTAATTTCTCCAATTCTAGTATTATTTCGGCTAAATATTAGAAAACCCGCTTCACTTTGAATGGCTATCAGATAACCCCTAACAACCGTCAAAGTATCAAAAAACTCTCCTTTGCCACCCTTAAACTTCTAAGATTTTATTAGAGAACTTCACAAGACATCGTTAACCGCTATCTCTACATGGGCGGGGGGGGATCACGCATGAGAGTATCATTTAGGCGGAATTAGTGGTTTACGCTCTTTTGGGGTGCCTCTGATATGACCATTATAAAGTTGAGGGATTTAGTTTTCTGATAACCCCCTAAAACTATCTGTGATTGGGCTTGCACCCTTGCCAATTCCATCCAACAAAAGTAAGAGTGGCACTACAGGCACACCCCCAATCATACCTTGGGGTACACCCCTTCTCTTAGCTACAGTACACTAGGCCCATTTTAGATTTTTTTTTAAAAATCTAAAGTGGGCTTGGTGTACTGTAGCTGAGAGAAGGGAGTGTACTCCAAGGTATGGTGGGGGTGTGCCTGTAGTGTTTTCCCAAAGAGCTTTGCTACAGGGACCCAAAATATGGGACCAATAAAGAGGACAAGTGAGGTGTCCCCCATCTATTGAATAATGAGTTTGCCATCATTAATGATGGCCAACTCATTATCCAATAGAAAGAGGACATCTCATTTGTCCCCTCTATTGATCCCATATTTTGGGTCCTTAGGAATTTTTCTTTCCCAAAAGTAAAGCCCGATTGATTGCTCACGTTTCTCAAAGGCCAGCTCCATCGATGAAGGGCATTTTCGGTAGGGTGAAACCACTACTAATAGGATCATCGTGGCCGATCTAGGGTTTTCTTCTGCGGCCACTAAAGCTCGAGAATTAGGGTTTTTGTAGGGCAAGCTCTAGGTCGGCGACGATGGTGGAAAAGGGGAGCAAAGGGAGGAAGGAGGAGGTGGTGACCCGAGAGTACACCGTCAATCTCCACAAACGACTCCATGGATGGTACTGATCTCCATTTTTTTTCCTTTTTTTTTTATTTTTTTACAATCATTGTTCTGATCAATTAGAGAGAAAAAAGAAGGGTTTATGCGTTTAATCTTCTGCTCTTTTGTATGATATCTGTTGTTATTGTGCATAGTGTTTTAGATCATATTTTAGTGGTCTAGGAGCCTAACCATTAAACTTCATCTCAAATTTAGAATTGTACGCTAGCAGATGTAATCTAAGCCAAATTATTGACTGGTCCTTAGCATGATACCATGTTGGTTACTCTTATGAAGACGGATTATTGTGTACGTTATTCTTAATTAAATGCTCCCTATATTTGTCATTAATAATTAAATAAGATCGTTGTTAAGCTGAACTGATGGAATGAAATCGAAGTTTTAAAGTTCACATCCTAATCAAATTTAGATGGGGATACGAGTCTAAATGAGTTTATGCTTTCTCCTCCATCTTTCATTTAGTGATCCTATTCATAATCAAACTCATGCTATCCCATCACTAGACCATACTTGATACTCTTATAGACTATGTCGAACCCGAAACTTTATAATGGATTTTTTTTTTTTTTGGTTTCGTCTCCCTTGTGGAGTTTGGCTTATAATAGTGGGAAGTGTGGAAAAAGGTCAGGTTGCGATTTGGGTATAATTGGAGAAAATGAGGAAAATAACAAGGGGTTGTGGCTAATAAGATGAAGTGATTAGTTCAAACCCCTTTAGGATTGTATACTAACCCATCACTACCTTAGGAATTGATGACAGATGTTCCTATACGATACTATATCTGCTTGAAGCTTTAGGGAAGTTTAGTGAAATTTCCTTTACGAGGTTATAATTATGATACAATCGTTGTGCTTAAATCAAGTAAATTTTTTTCTTGCGTGCAATGTTCATATTCAACCCTTGTTCAATTAATAAAAAAATAATTTGTTATATTTAAAATCATTGCTTAACTTTTTTTTCAACCAACTTGTGCTCCCATCTCGGTCTGTGTCCTCATCGAGTATCCAAAACATCTGATTTGTTTCATAACTGTATCCGTTTTAGTGAGTGTGAATTGTATTAATCAGTGTAAATTTATTCTGGTTATTGTAGTATCTGCTTTATCTAATATTCATTCTGCATAAATAGTATCAGTAATTTATCTACTATTATTTACAAGAAGCCCCTTCTGGTTTGTGTGAACTCGTCTTATTTTTGTTTTTTTTTTTTGTTTTTTTTTTTTTTGGGTTTTTTTTTTTTTTTTGTTTTTTTTTTTTTTTTTTTTTTTTTTGGGGTGGGGGGGGGTGTATGTCCTCACACTTATGTACAACAAGAAAGACTGTTTTTTCCCTTTAACCGAAATAAATTTCCTTTTAAGTTTTAACTTATATGTGAATGTTTCTTTGTTCTCTATTATCTGTAGCAATTCATACTTCTTCCTTAGCTGTGTTTTGGCCTAACAAAATTATCATCATTCCTGTGTGACTGACTCCAAACCTCCCTAACTTTATACCATGTCTGCAACCAAAAAGCCTATTGAATCGTGTTGAAGATGGTTCAGTATCATCAACGACATACTTACAATATATTTTTTTCGTGGGTTGTTTGCATTTTTTGTCAATTTATTATCGACATATTTCCCCCCTTTTTTCATGAGAAATCAATCACATATCCTCATTTTCGTATGGGTTTCTTCTGATGCAGCACCTTCAAGAAAATGGCACCAAAGGCCATTAAGGAGCTCCGCAAGTTTGCTCAGAAAGCAATGGGCACTAACGACGTGAGGGTTGACGTCAAGCTCAACAAACACATTTGGAGCCGTGGGATCCGAAGCGTTCCAAGGCGAGTCCGTGTTAGGATTGCTCGCAAGAGGAATGAAGAAGAAGATGCCAAGGAAGAGCTCTACTCTTTGGTCACAGTTGCTGAGGTACCCCCAGAGGGGCTTAAAGGGTTGGGAACTAAGGTCATCGACGAAGCAGATTGAACCTTTCTACCCAAGAATATCACTTTAGTTTCAATATTTGGCTTGGAAAATTTGTTAGTTTTGGTAGTTTACGTATTTGGATTCTGGTAATTCTTTTTGCATTATCGCTCGCCGTAGTTGTTGCTTAAGTATTTTTATCTATAGCTTGAACTCTTGTACTCTATAATGTGTTCTGCGTCAGTGCATTGTTTGAACGCTTTGTGTCGTGCTTTGAGTTTGAACTTCCAGAGGCTTGCTAGATGTACGGTCATTTGTCAGGCTATTTATTGTATTAAATTCTTGATCTTAGTCAGGACTTTGACTGATCTTCCTCTTCCTGCAACTCGAGCATTTAACAACTCGTCAATATGATGATTAGCTCCAACAAGTCTCACACTACTTATATGGATCTTTCTGATACTTGAGCGTACATTCCCTAGTTTCTTGCATATGTTACAGATGACAAAACAAAAATTAGGTATAATTATTATTTACTTAATTCTCCTCTTATCTAACTCATAGAGGACTTTGTACTTGCTTCTAGTTACTAGTTTAATTAAAAGATGTTTTAATGAAACTAGTTAATTAATACAAGTTGTTTTGTAATTAGTTATACTAGTTGTTGATTCAAAAATATTATTTTTGGTTCATAAGTTTTTAAGAGTAAAAACACTTGTATAAATTGCAAAATACTTATTTACAACTAGTGTAGTTGTATGTTAGAAGCATGATAGTCCTATTTGAGTTAGGATAATCCCTATGTTATCTAGTTTTCCAATTTGTTGCATAACTAGATAGATGCATATTTCTTAATGTTGATTAAGTTATATGTTTTATATCATCTTGCGTGGATGTTATGTTTATGGATGGTAGTGGTCAACGATTCTCTTGTATTTATTGTATTGATGTAATATAGCTAGAAATGTAATATTATTTTTGACCTCTTCCCTCCCCGAGCATGGGCTACGCCTACGGGTTTTGGCACTTGCTCATCGATCATGGGCTACGCCTACGCGTATAGGCCCTTGTTCGGGTGTGGGGGGGGGTATGGTTATTTAGTTTAGTTATTTCATTTATGGTTTTTATTTTACATTCAATGCAATATTATTACCCATCCTACGAGATGGTTTTTCCATTATAAATGGGGTTTGTACGTCCTATGTATATGTGAATGTAATAATACAGGATTTACAAGGGAGCTAGCAATGTAAGGAGTTGCAAATTGCTTGCCAAAATATAATTAGTGTAGTTACATTTTATTCCCTTAGTTGTCCACTATCATTCCATATTGCTTTTACATATGTTGATATGTTGGTTGTGCCTCAATTGTAGATGTCAATACAATTGGGTGCTATATTCTACAAAGTTTATATCTCTATCTCATTAGAGAATAGTTTTTATTATAAAAAAAACTCATTTTTAAACTTTGTGATACATGGCAATAAGAGTTTATTGACCATAGAGTGGTGAGATCGACATTAACATAGTGTTAGTGTGAAAGATAAATAAACCTAAAACAGTTAAAAGAGATGTATTTAGAACGAACTTTTAATTAGTGTCTAGGAAAGTGATTATGAGATATAACTCATGCGGTGATGCCCAACTTAAGATAAGGGGTTGATGTCATAAGATTGTTTGGTAAGACCATCTCCAATAGTGTATAATTGGGTGAATTATTTGCTCCAGCAAAGAATAATTGTAAAGGTGAAGTGATGTGGCTTTTGGAGGGAATTATTCAATAAATCTAGAATTATTGTAGTGAAAAGCAATCAAATCGCGCCATGTGTCATTGTAAAAGCAATTGTTTGGTGAAAAGCAATCAAATCGCGCCATGTGTCATTGTAAAAGCAATTGTTTGCTGCTGGAGTGCTCATTTACCCGCGGGAGATAACACAAAGGAGGTGAGGTGCAATCGCGACATGTGGCAGCTTCGTGTTGGTTGATGCATTTTTCTTTTCACAAAGGAGGTGAGGTGCAATCGCGACATGTGGCAGCTTCGTGTTGGTTGATGCATTTTTCTTTTCCACACTCTTTTTAAATGATATTTTTTACCAATAAATTGATCAAATTAAAAAAAAATCACCATTAATTTTCTTTTTTCGAGATCTATAAATAGAGACCAACTTTGCTTCATTTGGACACCAAAATTTTTGAGTATTTTCTCCAAAATTTCTCTCTTCCTCCAACTTCTTTGCTCTCTTTAAAAATTCCTCCAACTTCTTTGCTCTCTTTCAAAATGGACCCTAATCAAAATTTTAATCATCCCCCAACTTATATGTTTCCTAACCAACCTCAAAATTCCAATAATCAACGTCCTGAAAATCTTCAAAACATGCCATCCAATTTTCAGATGCCGTATATGATGCCATCTAATTTTGGTATGCAATATCCTTATAATTTCCCTTATATGCAATATGGGCAACAAACTGGTGGAAGTAATTATGGTGGTTTCTCCAATATCAATAATCAAAACACCGAGCAAGTTACTCCTCATTTTAGCAGTGGATCAACAGATGTACCCGAGTTTTCCACTCAAATATCTCTTGGAAGTGCTGGTGATGACACACCACATAGTTTTTTGCCCCAAACACAGAAAAATACTTCTAAATCTAGCTATTCGGTTTGGAGTGTCAAGCAAAACAAACTACTTTTAACTAGTTATTTTCACTTCAGTAATGATAGTGAATTGAGTAGTGGCCAAAAGGGTGATACTTTTTGGGGTAAAATTGCTGCTTACTTGAATGAGCATTCAACAACTGGCCCTCATAGGAGTCAACAACAATGTAAAAGCCATTATAGTGATCTCAACAAAAAAATTGGTAAGTGGGTTGGTGTATACAGAAAAGCTTTAGCAGAGAGGCGTAGCGGTTGGTCAGACGACAACTACATAGCAAGAGCTCAAGATTTGTTTGTTGAAGAAACTAAAAAAAACTTTGCTTTGCTTGAAGAATGGAAGTTGGTTCGTAATGAACCAAAATATATGGTTGGATCTGGTGCATCTCAAAGTAGTGGAAGTAAAAGGAAGAGTAGCAGGGAAGGTGATATCTCATGCTCATCAGTTCCTTCTTTTGTACGCCCAGAAGGTAGAGACACGACAAAGAAAAAAGCTAAGGGCTCCTCTAGAAGATCGAAACTTGTTATTGAGGAGGAATACTCTAAGATAGAGTCTGAACGCCAGGAGCTAAAAGAAATGAAGGAACAACAGATGAAGATGATGTAAGAAGTTGTAACGGCTCAAAAGGAGGCAGCATGTGCTCAAAAGGAGGCAGCACGTGCTGAAAAAATGAAAATGTGGATGGACCTTAATCAGAGAAATCAAAGAAATGCATTGGACGAGTATGAGTATAAACTGCTTAACATGCTACAGATCGAATTGTTTGGCCTTTAAGTTTATCTGTTTGAGAGTTCATCTTTTACAATTCCAAGAATAAATGTAATGTGTGTTGTTTAGTATGATGTTAAGAGTGTATTGTCTGAGTATGATGTCTGAGTGTATTGTTAGAATGTGATGTCTGAGTGTATTGTTCAATAAAATGCATCTTGGTTCCTGCAAACAATTCCTTTGTATGTAAGTCATTTGAAATTTGAAAAGCAAAGCTCAATTATGTTGTACGTAAAAGTCCAAACATATGATCTCTGCACACTACAAACAAACCTTATCTCTTGAACATATCAAAAGCAATGTTGCTTCACATGTGATCTCTGCACACTACAGTCCAAACCTTATCTCTTGAACATCTCAAAATCAATGTTGCTTCACATGTGATCTCTGCACACTACAATCCAAACCTTATCTCCAGCAAATGCTGTCTCGCGAGCACTGTTCATACAGAGGTTATAAATACCCCCGAGGTGATTTCTTTGAGAGGGTTGCCAGCAGAGATCCAAGGCTGATCAGAGAGCATCCATAGGCTGATTCCAGAGCAGAGAGGGCAGAGTACTCGAGCTTCTGGCAACTCCTTGATATTCAGGCTTTGACTTGATTTCAAGAAGAACGACTATCTTACCTTGATAAGATATCGTTTCAAGTTCTCACTTCGATAAACGAAGTCAGAATCATAAACCCCTCACGATTCGATCAGAATCTGTGATTTGGTGGTCCACGGGCTAACGCACCCCCGGCACAGGCAAAGATCCCACGCAAGCAGTGATCCAAACAACGATCCTGCGTTTGTTTCCCAAGAGTTGTAATTTTCATTTTGTTGTGTAAAAGAAGTCTTATAAAAAGGCTATTTCTTTTGAATTTATTGTAATCGACTGAAGATATAATGAATTCCATGACAAAACCAACTTTTAACGCAAACTACTATTTCCTGGACGAGACCGTCGTGTCGCAGCCAATCATCAAGATCCTGGTTGAATCAACGGTCGAGTACGAGTTCGACCAAGCGAAGTTTGAGGAGTATTTGTCATCCTCATCTGTAAAGTCTTCCGCGCCTCGCAAGTGCAGGAAGATTTCATCTTCGTTGAAGTTATCAAATGCTACGGATGAAGACTCTCGTCCGATTGTTGCTGAGGATTTTATTCGCAACAGCTCTGCTCAACAGCATACCTCCCCAATTAAGGAGTCATTCAATCGAAGTTCACCACTGACGAAGAGGGCTCGTCAGAGGCGACGCCAACGCCGCGCTCGTCAATTAGCTAAGGCATTTGAACAAACCGACGGAGTTCGTTATTATGCGGACTTAGAGTCGAGGAAACAACAAGTGGTTTGTTCAACGCAACGACAAACTACTCATGTCTCTGCTAAACTCACGACGGAGGAATGAACACTCGTCAAAAGGGCTCGTTCGACCCTCAAAGAACGTATACAAAAACGTCGTGCAAATGCTGCTCATGTCCGAACTCTCCTACAACAAAGACGAGAAAGGAGGAAGGAAACGGTGACCAAAGAACCACCGAAACTCTGCCAAGTTTGGATTCCAAAGTCTGGACTTATGCAAAATCAGCATTCAGAGCCCGTTAAGACTCCGTACCCGCAAGGGGGTGGTTTTAGACGTGCGACTCCCGACATAACCTTGGATCGCTCAAAGACAAAAATAAATTGTCCTGAGAATGCCAACAAGGTTTTACACCCCCAGAAGAAGACGCATTCACCAAATGATATCGTCATACCTGGGAGGTCATGCCAACAGACGATACGATTTTTTGGTAATCATACCGATGAATCGTATTATCAAGTTGGGGTTGTGAATAATTTTCGAAAGAGAGTTATTCGAGAAATAAACTCTCGGTGTTCCTGTGCGCGACTCGTTAAAGCAGCATTATCAGGATGTGATTGTTTCAAACGAGAAGCCATCCCACGAAGA